TAAAATTTCCTTCAAACAAATTAAAATTATGATTTTTTAAAGTTCAAACAGAGAAGGCTATTGGTCGGCGATATTCAAATTTACTCGTTTGGTAGAAAATGGTAAAAAAATGATTATAAAAACAAAAGCTGAAATCTTAAATAATTTGAGCTTTTAGAAATGAAAAAAAGGCTCAAAAGCCACTGAAAAAAATGGGGACAAAGCCAGAGAAAGATCAAAAGATCAAAGTCGCCTTTTCAACCTTTGACTTTTTTGGAAGATCTGAATTTTTATAAGTTCTTTCAAATCCATTTTTTAAACCTGAATTTTTTCTCGGACGGACACGGAAAACGGACGTTTCTGGGCATTTCAAGTGACCACTTTAGTAGCGTCAATACTCTTAAGGGATCCCGAGAATCGCTCAGAAACGTCCGTTTCGCGTTACCGAGGACCGAGTTAAAAAAAATAATGAAGATACTCTGAAAAAAGGTTAAAAAGCAGAAAAAAAAAATCTTAAAACCGAAACAAGCTTATATTTGATCCAAAAATCAAAATAGAATTATTTCCTGTAGAAGATACAAACGAATATCACGTGTTGAGATCATTCCAAACACTCTGACTTGTCTGCGTCTCTTTTCTCCTAAAGGCAAGGTCAAAGTAACATGAAAAATAGTAAAGAAGCGGAAGAGAGTCTCAGAGAAAAGAGCGCAACGAAGTCAGGATTTTCAAATTTTAGAAAAAATGGATAAACTGCTAAAAGTTTCCAGATATTTTTTCTCCTATTCAATTATTTCCAATCTTAAAAAAATCCCCTTGTCAATGATAAATGGATCCTCGAAAACTTGAAAAAAGAGCCATTCTCTGGGAAAAATGGGCGTTTCTAGGTGTGTGTGCGTTGGCGCGAACAAGAGTCTAATAAATCGCCCGGGAAAACACTCGGCGGCTTTTTGACGTCAAATGAAGCACCCCGTCTTGTGGGTCACATAAAACAAACATCGACGCAGGTCTTTTTTTTTTTGAAATCTTGACGATTCAAGTGGATTGAAAAAGTGTTTTGATTAAAAAACGGATTGTGGGAAAATGGAGGTGAAAGAACTAAGTTTTCGAAAAATGAATTTGGTTAGAAAAAAAAAGATAGGAAATCGTAAAGTGACCAAGAGCGAGAGAGCATTGGTGGTTAAGAAGGTCAGAGAAACGAGAGTACTCTGACTTCTCTGGCGTCTCTTCAAGCCTCGTTAATCTCTCGCTTCTGTTTTTTTGGTCATTTTTTTTTTCAGGAAGTCAGAACAACTATCCCTCTGCTGAATATCCCTAACATCAGAATTAAAAGCAAAAATTTTAGATTTCAAAAAAAAATTTTTTTCAAATCATCTTTTTTTTAAAGTTTGACCATAGAAATGATTTTTTTCGAAAAGCAGGAAAGTTAAAATTCCTAGAAACGTTGAAATGATCGAAACGGGGGCAAAAATCAGTCAAAATTTGAACACCTGTTCATAGAGATTCTCATGAAAAATGAGATTTTACTGATCCAAGAACAGGCTCAAAAATAGATTCAAATCTGGATGATCTATAGAAATTTGGAGAAAAAAAGCTTATTGATGTGCAAATTGATGAGAGAAATTATCTTTCTACCGTTGCAAAAGATAAAATTTCATTCGACACTACTCTGACCTATCTGCGCTCTCTCATCTCTCACTGGAAATATCTTAAAAATGGAAAAAAAGAAAATATTCTCAATAACGCCAGAGTGATTTCTACAGGGGCAAGGTTAGAGGCTCTTGAAGATTGCTCTCTAGGGACCACTTTAGCTACCCATACAAGGGCCAATAAAGCTTGCAAAAGTGGCCCCTTTAGGGGGTATTATCCCCCCTAACTCTATAGGGGCCACTCTGGGGTACATTCGACTTCCCTTTTCAAAACGCTAAAAATATCTCTTTCGACTATTTGCCTCTAAAAAACTTGCAAATTCGCCGAAAACTACAGGATTAACATGGGATTTTTCCAAAAAAAAAAGGCAAAGATTATTTAGAAAATCCAGAATCTTAAGCCTTTTCAATCAGAAAAAGATTAGTTCCGACCAAAAAAATTACATATTCTCCCATTCAAAAAGACCCAAAAAGTTTCAAGATCATGTTTATTTTTCCTGCAAATCCCTCTATTTTCCAAACACGCCTTTTTAAGCTTCAAGAATCGGGAGCAAAAAAACTTGAAGGTTCGAGAAGCGCATCTTAAAGAAAAAAATAAATGAGTCTTTTTAGAATAATACTAAATTTTTTAAAAACAAAGTCGTCGATCAAAAAAACTTTAGAAAAAAATAACGAGCCATTTAAAAAATCGTTGAAAGCCAAATAACCCCTTAGATTCCAAAATAGCACCATGAAAAACTTCAAAACATGTAAAATTCAGGAAAGTATGGTCAAAAAAATCAACTCCTTGCGAAAATTTTTAGTGGCCACTATAGGGTTTCGACGTTTTAGTGGCCACTAAAATAGTCAAATTAGTGACCTCTTAAAGGGTTAAAAATTAGTGGCCACTATAGAGATCTAAGTGCTACTACTTGACCACTAAAAATTTTAATGGCCACTTTAGGGGTCAATGGATCAACATAACTGGTCCAATCTGTTTGTTTTAAAATCATCAGAGTTACTGGAAGGAATACTCGATGAAAAACTACTAAAGCGGCCACTAAAACGGAAAATAGAGGCCACTATAGAGGTGGGACTAGTCTTCAAGTAGTCCTTGGCAAGCTAGTGGCCACTGAACATTTTCCCAGGCTGTCAATGATATTCAACGGTGAATTTCGCCTTTCCGAAGGAAAAATTCAATTTTTTGAAGTTTCAAGAGGGGAAGGTTTCTTGAAACCACCAAGAATCCGAGTCATATAAAATAAAATAAAATAACTGAACGGTTGGCGAGAACCAGGCGGGCGTTTGATGGGCTCCAAGGAGCCGAGCAGCTGTCGGCTATTTTTCGATCTCTTGGCTCCCAGAAATTTGATTGGGGCCTTCCGTGCAGATCAACTGAACAGAGCGCACAAATAAATAGAGTCTCTCGGTTCGAATTGAGATCAGTAGAGCGAAAAGTTGGAATCATCGGAAATCTTCGGACTGATAATCAATACAGATAAAAAAAAAGCTTTATCGAAAAAAAAAATTTATCAGTTCAAATCTCAAAGTAGTGAAGTTTGTGGCCCAAACATCAAAAATGCGGTGTATAAATAACCTATAAAGATAACTTATCAGTGAACTTGTGTTCAGAAACGAGAAAAATGAACAGTCAACGAGTCGTAAAGAATGTGAAGAATTTCAAAAATTATCTCGAGAGAAAAATTAACGATTCAGAAAAAACCAATAAAAATCCGGACATTTTATTTTTCGAGGTGGATTTCGAGCTCCTTTCAATTGGCGGTTGGGAAATATCCAAAAATTGGTCGGAATTCTTCCAAAAGAAGATTCTGAAAATCTGAACCTGCGAAACTTCTGGTAAAGACATTTCAAGAGCATTGTAGAACATCTAAATCCTCGAAAGTTATGAATTTTGAGCTTTGATTTCACAAAAACTAAAATTTTTTTGAGTTGAAAGCTTTGAACCTTTTTGGGTACTTCAAACATGATCTGGCCGTAAAAGGCAGTTAATTGGAAGGTCACTAATTTATCGATACAAATGTTTTTCAGAAGAAAAAAGGAGTGAAAATTCATTTTCTAATCCCACAAACCTATTTCCCTGGCGCCAATATATTTTTCTTCCTGCTTTCTTTCTTTTTTTCTATTTAATTAATGGCTTGCACTTTGGGCTGGACAAGTGTGTGGGTGGATTTGCACAGTCTCTGGCGAATTCTCCTTGTTTTCTTTGAAAAAAAAATCAAATTCTAGCTATCAGAAAAATTCATGAACTTCTTCAGATTCCCATTTTTCCACAGATGAATGGAATTTCAAAAATTAGGACATGAGAAAAAAAGTTCAAAGATCCAAGCAAAATTGATTTTTTAAAATTTTCATTTAAGGTTCAAATAAGTTAAAAAATAAAGTTTTTCCGGTTCATTGTCTATTTCACAACTAATCAAAACCAAAAAAATCAGATAAAAAAAGAACATGGCCGGTTCAAAGTCATTTCCGAGCATGCGGAGGGTTCTTCAAGTGGTGTTAAGTGCCCTCTAGTGACCACTTGACTCAATCCTTCTCAATGCCCTAAAATCACCTTCAAAACATAAATAGAAGACGAGATTGTGATAGAGAAAAACGATGAATGAATAAAATTAGAAAAAAAAAACGGAAAAATATACAACTTAGTGTAAAATTGAATGACCTCACCGTTTTAAATAGAGAAATTCTCATTTAAAAAATTTCGGGTAGTCTAAAAAATTTGGAAAGTTTTACAATTTCTTCTTGAAAAAAATTTAGGAAAAACGTCAAATTATTGAGAAGAAAAAAATTTAAAAAAAATAAGAAAATAAGGATGAAAAAAATATAATTTGAATGAAGGTCACAAATTCCGCGCCTAAGTATAGCTGATTCACGGTTGGCCAATTCAAAAAAGGGTCCTGACACGATAATAAAAGAGACAGCGCCTGATTGGTGGAGAGTGCAGACAGGACACGCCCCCTTAACGTAACAAGTTAGCCGTGAATCGGCTATAGGTAGACCGAAGAAAATTTTCAAGACCAAAATTGATCTTTAAAATGCGATTTTTGGAAAAAAAGCTTTTTTCGAAGCCGATTTTTTTTGATCTATGACGAGTGTTCAAAATTTCGACTTTCTTTTTCCTGAAACGGAACAATTCAAAGTGCAGAGTACACGGCTCGAAATTGAAGGGAAAAGGCTATTTCGGAACGAATTCGCCCAAGTGCTGCCCACAAATCGGGCCACTATAACTCGATTAGTGCCATTTGCAGGCATCATTGGGATTGTTTCCAGGATGGGAACAGAAAATAGAAACATTGAAGAAGGTTCATTTCGTGAAACGGACGCGAATCAGGAGAGCAACGAGTCCGATGGCGCGATAAGCGACAAATGAAAAGGCCATTATCCCGATGTTGAGCCAAACCGTCGTGTCGATACTTCGGCGGTCAAGAACTTCTGGAAGAAAATAATGAAGCATAGACAAAGTCGGAAAGATTGGGAAAAGGCTGCATAGAAATGTTCCTTTTAGGATGACAGAGGCTCCTTTTTTGCTACCTTTTTTCGCCATTTCATCGGCTTTTAGCACCATTTTTGCTGCCTTTCCCTTTTTCTACTATTTCTTGAGCCTTTGAAATCCCAGAAAAAATAGCAGGCTCGATTGAGGGACCTTTTTTGTTGTCTTTTTTGCAGCCTTTTTTGAGCCTCTTTCTTTTAGCGGCCATTATCTACCTTTCCGACTTTGCTTGAGAGAATAATGAGAACATTGAGTGAAACTTTGAAGAAGCTCTGAGAAAGTTTGAAATTTGATAAAAAGCTTTTCACAAGTTTTTTTTGATTTGTTTCTTTACCGATCCCCATTTTCACATAAATTTTTTCAGGTGCCCTTTTGAAATTTTGATGAAGTTTGGCTGAAATGTTTTTAGTACTTCCTGATTAAAGATGAGAATTTTTTTTTGAACTTAATCCTTACTGTTTCGCAAGCTTCAGATAATGATTTTTCGTATACCCTGTATTATTTTCGAACTTTACGGGGTCTAAACTCGAGAGATTTTTTTTCGGTTTGCACATTAATTTTTTTTCTTCCAAATTTACAAAAATAAAAGAACCTCACCATCGCTAGTTTTCGCCGGACAATAGAGCAATTTTGAGCCACTGCCGCCGCAATTGATATTCTCGTACTGAAAATATTGATTTTCTTCAACATTCTGGCTTTAAAACTACTCACATCGCCCTATTGATCGACTTCGAGCGCTTCGAAACCGTGTTTGAACCAAGAAAGGTTGGAAATCGCTTGAAAGTAGGATGGAATAGATTTCGCGTTGATGTAAAAGCCTAAATAAATTTTTTTGAATTCATTTTGAAAATAGAATAAACCATCTCAAGCTTGAAATATTTGAAACTTTCATTGAAGCTCATTCATATCCTCAATAAAATATAGAAAACTAACGATAAAAAAAATAGAAATTACTGAGAAAGGAAAAAGCGACGCGGTCGCGTCGCTGCTAACTAGATATCCGCCATGTCTACGTTCTACAGACATATAAAAATTAAAAAAATAAAATTCGAAATCAAGAACATTTTCCATGATACGTAGAGCCTGCTATTCTCTCTGGGATTTTAAAGGCTCAAGAAATGGTAGAAAAAGGGAAAGGCGGCAAAAATGGTGCTAAAAGCCGATGAAATGGCGAAAAAAGGTAGCAAAAAAGGAGCCTCTGTCACCCTAAAAAGAACATTTTTATGCAGCCTTTTCCCAATCTTTCCGACTTTGTCTATGCTTCATTATTTTCTTCCAGAAGTTCTTGACCGCCGAAGTATCGACACGACGGTTTGGCTCAACATCGGGATAATGGCCTTTTCATTTGTCGCTTATCGCGCCATCGGACTCGTTGCTCTCCTGATTCGCGTCCGTTTCACGAAATGAACCTTCTTCCTTGTTTTTATTTTCTGTTCACCTTCGCCATCTACGCTTCGCAGCCCATTTACGGGACCTGTGCTTTTTCAAGAAAACTCTATTTGTTAATCCGCTCAAGTATTTTTTTTCAAAAAATGTTTTTACCCTGCTTTCGCTCACGGATATGCTCTTCAATCATTGCCTCACTTCCCAATTCGCTTTCAGTGTCTTTGTATTTGTCCCAGTGCCTTTCCAACTTTCAATAATCGTCTTTCCAGGTTTATAATTATATGAAACTTTCTTTCGCGGTACAAAATGAAAGACTTTTCAAAATCTAAACATAGTCTGTTCCGCGCCAGCTTGTCACGTTTTTCTTCCAGCCAAAAAGACCGTATACCAAATTAGATCAAATTTCTGCTTTTATAACGGCAAGAGGTCTTGGAGCGAAAGTTGGTTAAATTTGACCTGGCCTCTTGGCGGAAAGAAAAACGTGACAAGCTAGCACGGAATGGCCTAAAGCAAAGGTATTTTCGAATAAAGAAAATACTTGTGGAAACACGAGTTTTTTTCAGATTTCCTTCAATCGGCAAGAAAAAAAGTCGCTTGAACGCGATTGAAACTGAAATTTGCAAGAGAAAGAAAAACTTCGAAAAAACAGGAAAAAAAATAGCGAAATGAATTATTTTCAGATTTTTAATGTCAAGCAGCTAACTTCACCCGCAAGGCTACAAGGCTATATCTTTCGCGTCAATGTTTTATCGAAGGTGACGATAACCGTTTGATAGGGGGCTGCTTTTTTCGTCTTTTTTTTCTATCTTTGGAATCCAAAAACATCAATAACCGTCGCGCGCGATAAACATCGACCCGAAAGGTACCGTCTCAGCAGGGGCGGAGTTAGCTGGTTGAAATTCAAAATTTGAACAAACTATATTCCAAAAAATGACCAACGACAGTTTGTTGGTATGAAAAAAAGACGAGCGAAAATTCTAACGGCGACTTTTTCATATGGCTAGGGAACTTTCCGACGAATCCCTTTCCGTCTTTTTTATCGATAAACTCTTCTTTCTGAAACTTTCTGTATAAAGTAGGTAGTTGATACATGAATAACACACAAAGAAATAGGAAAGAAGATGTTAATAGAGTTTTTATAAACCGAAAAATATAAGGGAAAAAAGTCAGATAGGTGGCTATCAAAAAGTTCTCTAGCGATATGAAAAAGTCAGAAAAGTCGCCGTTCGAATTTTCGCTGGTATATTTTTCATCACTAAGAATAACTGACGAGATAAACGCGAGAAACTGGCGGTACATTGACGAACTCGCAAACATCTCGCTTTTTCTCTCGCGCCGGTCTCGCATTTATTACGCAATTTAAAAACTGTCTGGAATGCAAGATAAATGCAAGGTCGTGCCGAGAAAAAAGAGACATATTTGCAAGTTTGTCAATGTATAGCCCGTTCACGGCTGACTTGGGACAGCGAACGGGCGGTTTAACTTGCGCGGCGATGGTAGATCATTGTGGTCATACATGCGCCTTTAACAAGAGACTTATTTGGTGAATTTTTTCTGTTTCTATTGAATTTTTTTGTCTGTTTACATTCATATCATTGGTTTTTAGATTTTCTTAAAATCGATATAATACAAAATAAAAACAAATAAGCCATAAAATGGGGCCTTTATGAAAGACGCATGGATATTCGCCATGATCTACCTTTGCCGCGAAAATTAAACCGCCCGTTCGTTGTCCCGAGTCAGCCGTGAATGGGCTATACCGCTACCGACCTCGCGTTTATCTCGTCAGTTATTTTCAGTGGTCCGTGCCTCAGTTATCTGAAAAAATAAGGTAAAAAAAGAGAAAAAACTGCAAGAAACGAAGAAAAGTTTTGAACTTTGATAAATTCTGGGAAGTGCTTTCTAGGAGCTTTTATTCAGTTGAAAATATTTTTTTCAACCGAGTGAATATAGTCTGTTCAGATTTTAAATGTCAAGCAGCTAACTCCACCCCCAAGGCTACAATATCCTTCGCGTCAATGTTTTATATCCAGATGACGATGAGCCTTTAATAAGGCTGCATTTTTGACTTCTTTTTCTATCTTTTAGATCAAAAAAGATCAAAATTAGTCCCGCGCGATAAAACATCGACGCGAAAAGGTACCGTCTCAGCAGGTGCGGAGTTAGCGGGTTGACATTCAAAATCTGAACAGACTATAAAAAAAAATTTTCTCCGAAAGAACGATACTCGCTAAAATCGTGAAGTTTCTTCAAGCATGGATCAAATATGTATAAGCCGATATTGAGCTTGCAAAAATTTGCACGAGCTTACTTATACAAATTCTCTTCTTAAAAAACCTTCTACTGTCAATAATATATCCAAATTGAAAAACCTGAGATATCAAAAACTTGGATGAAAAACAATAGCATCGAAACCGATCCATAAAAAATGAAAATTGACGAATAAAAAATTTACTCCATTTTATATAATCAACAGGAGGAATTTGGTTAAGTTTTTTTGTTTTGTGAAGCATTGGAAAACATAATCATTAAGAAAGATGATGGCCGAAAAATCGAAGCTGTCCAGGTTCAAATGAAATTGAAATGTGAACATGCCCTGAAACTAGAGGCAAAAATATAATTAGATTACGAAATTTCGTATTACGCGAAATATAAAAAATAAAAATAATGGCGCGGATCAAAATTTTCAAGGAGCAAGAAAACATTTCACTTCCCCTGAAAAACTTCGATTGGAATTCAAATAACTTCAATTCTAAAAGAATCCGAAATCTTCAAAATTAGACATGCCAAGAGAGGTCGATTAAATAGCCACGTAGACCAAATATGGCCACGCGGAAAAAATGAAAAAAAAAACCCACGTAGACCAAATTTGACCACATCGAAAAAGTGGAAAAAAAAACATTATTGAACAAATTTTTACAACTGCAGCTGCATTTGATAAAAGGTTGGTTATTTTTTTCGTTTTATATTTAAAATTTCAATTATTTGAAACTAGTGTGTGTGTTGAGAGCTCCGTCAGGCCTAGTTTCTTTTTGTTTAAAGACCGCCAAGCCCCGCAGTTTTTTGTATTTGAAAAAATATTTGAAAAAGAGATATCGACACGTGTAGATCGAAACAGTTGAAAATTGAAAAAAAAAACCTCTTTCTTCCAGCTAATACACTTTATTTTTACAAGAACATCATCCGTGTAAAAATCAACGCGTCTATCCTACTTCCTTTCTGTAAAAAGCTCTCAATGTTTTCAGAGAATGTATAAACTATTAAATTTTGAATTAATCATAAAATTGCATGAAATGTAACAAACTTAGCGCGTCAATGCGCGTAAGATTTGACGTTTGCTGTGTGTAGACTATTGACGCAAACTCCCATACTGATCAATATTTCAATTTTCGGAATTGACAAAACTAAAAAATTCACCGATACAAAACTGAATAAAAAGATGAATGAAGTATACACGAAAACAATTTTTCCAATTGTTTCCGTGGAATTTCCATATATTCTCAAGACACTGGTAATCATTGAAATTCAGGCGGAAGAAGTTTGAATTATAAGGTAAAAGTATGAGAGCGTAATTGAACGATTTCGCGCTATGAAATAACAAAAGAAAATCATTTCAAGTTCGTTTTATTAGGGTGTCTACTAAGGACAACATCAAGCGACTCGAAATTCCTTCACAAGAAAGCGTACTGTATATAGCATGATGAATGCAATCTAGATAAATAGGAACCCGAAAAAAAGTTTTTAATATGCAGCAAGTTTCTTTGTATAAAGCAGGAAAGTGCAGGAAGTGCGCTCCACCGTTAGCTTTATAAGCTTCGCACCCGATTCAATGCGAGAGAAAGTCGCGGGAAACTTCTGAAAAAAATTTCGTTAAATTGTGATATATCTGTGAGATCAAGCATAATATTTATGAAGAAAAAAACCCTAAAAAAAGTGACGCTTGGTGATGCGTTTTAGTAGAAGAAGACTTCGATCGATTGTTTAAAAATTTGTGAGCTGGAAGAGAGAGGTTTTCTGTATCATTCACTCAATTCCTACATTTTTGTCCAGAATCGTATATAAAAAATATATCAAGAAAGAATTGGCTTTGCGGTTTCCGAGAAGAAGTTCCCATGAAGGTTATTCTGAGAGTGTGAACAAAAAAAATACTTACATCACAGTAGTTGTCTGAAATTTAGCACCAATGAACTAGAATTCCGGAAGAAGGCTCTGAAGCATTGTTAATGAGAAGAAGACTTCAAGTCTCAAAACGCGTTGAAAAACAAAATTGCTAGTTCGATATATAACATAAGCTTTCTAGCACAAAACACTGAGTGAAGTCTGAGATACTTCGGATCGAAAGTGATAAGAATGTGAGGAATAAATCAAATTTTTTTTTTGAAAATATCAACAAAAAAACATATTTTCTAGAATCTCGCCTCAACTTTTATTCATGTTCACATCGTTGATTCTGAAACTCACAAAGTATGCATTTCTGGCTAACTAAGATATTAGCAAGGTTGAGATCATTTTTTTATCTTTAGCAAATAAAATGTCAATTTTTTGGAGAATTTCAAAGTTTGATGTACACTCAAGTTCTTTCTAAAAAATTTCCGACTTCGATGAAGCCGATTTTGAACTTACGGATAATAAATTTCCATTCAAAAAAGCCAAATTTGAGATAACCTTACGGCTTTTGGTGAAAATCAAGGCTGTTTCAGAATCATCGATTTTGAATCTCGATAGAAAGTTAAGCCTAAACCTAAATAGCGCAGAACAAGTTTGCATCTGAATTTCAAAAAAGTTGACAAAGCAATCAGAAAAAAAAAGAAAACAAAAAAAAACGATAATAGTAAATTAATTTCCCTTTTTCAGTATTATTCAACAACCTGCAAAATGGACGCCCAGTTGAACATCCCCCAGGTTCGTTTTTCTTAAATTATTTTTTTCGGAAAAATGGCTATTTCATAGAATTGGAATTTTTTTCAAATCTTTTGTTCGATTCGAACACAGACTGAATAGAATAATTCTAAAAATTAGCCTAAAAATATAATTTAAGAATCAGTCTTATATCAAACATCAACGTCTTTGCTGAACTCCTCAGATTTTTCGAGACGTTTTGAGATGAGATTTCGTCTCGGAATGTCTCGTAAAATTGCTCTCGTCTTGTATCGAGAAGGAAAAGAAACTACCGTAATTCGAGCTTTTTCTTGCTCTGCTATTTTTTCTACTTCTCCCAGCCGAAAAATAGGTTCTCAAAGGCTTGAAAACTTTGAAAGATGAAAAACTGCAAGGAGTTAAACTTTTTTTGGCTTTCTGCAGATTTCTTTTTAATTTTTTTAGCAAAAAAATTAAGACCATTTCTATAAAAAAACATCACCTTCAAACTCGAAGGAAAAAAACCGACAACCAATTTGAAAGTCCCAACCTGAAAAAGCGACTGTAAAGGAACGATTAGACTTTCGAAACGGTCTCAACTTTTTTAAACACGGGTATTTTTCAAGAATAAAAAAATCGGAGCAGATTTTGCGTTTGAGATGAAAAACCTTAGCAACTCAAGCTTTGCCCGATTGCCGAGAAAAAAATATTAATACTTTGAAAATTCCTATCTTTCAAAATAAAATTTCGTTCCGAATATATTTGTATGAAGGTTTTCAGGGCCAAAATTTACAATAATTCACAAAAAAAAATAATTTCAAATTTTCAGGCCACAAGATCCGTCGGCTCACAAACCGACGAGGTTGGATTGAAAAAAAGGGATAGCATCAGCGTTGCGAAAAACGGAAAGATGAGAAGAAATATCGCTAATTTTTTTCGTTTACTTGAATTTTATAGTAAAATTGTTCTCACTAAGTAAACGAAGAAGCTGAGCGTTCAGAAATCGACTTAGGCTCTTTCTACAATTTCTTTTCGAACTTTGTATGATTTTATTTTCATCAGTTATCTTCAAATTTTTTTAAGTCTTCAATAGAATTAAATTTCTAGAATTTGATATTTTTTTGAGACCTTAGTGCTCGAATTTTATAACACAACAACTTTCTTTTCGCGGAAAAGTCATTTCAGAAAATATTCAAAATCGAATAGTAAAAAAAAAAAAATTATTTAACGATAATCTATTTAGGAGTCGTGGGTGTTCGACGAGGTTCTGGTCCAGCGTGATGGCCAGGACGTTGAGCTTTATTTCGAAGCTCAGGTGAGACTTTTTTCAAGCTGATTTCACATAAATACTAGCTTCGACTGCGCGAAAAATGTTGATGGAGACATTTTGAAAAATTTTTGAAAAATTTTAAATTTTCCTATATATTTATCCTTATTTCAAAGAATAAAACCTTTCAATTACGAAATAATTAATAATTCGAAATTTCAGGAGGACCGCCCTAAGCCGCGACTGCGGCAATCAAACCGTGGTGAGCCTTTTTTCGATAAAACGGAACACCTCAACTTTGCGAAATACAAGCTCCTACTTTTGCGAAATAGCTCGCACTTTCCTTTTCGTAGACACATGGGAAAGCTCTCACGCATCAGAAAGAATACTCGAAGAAAAGAAATAATTGCGAGAGTTGGACGCATGAAAATAAGAAAGTTCATGCGTTTCAGCATATAACGAAAATCATGAAATTTTCTAAAAATATATTTTTTGACCACCGCAATAAAAAAACATTTTCAGCGGCTCCCGGAAAGAGTGGTCGACCGTGCTCTGGCCGCCCAAGAACAGCGTATCCGCTACTTCCTGGATACGCTGAAGGCCAGGACTCAGCACGGAGGTACAGAACAGTTTCAGAAGTATCAGTCATTCTCACGATTCTCAGCTAACTTGACGAATCCAACTTTTCAAGCTTCCAGCAAAAAAACGGTTCACGATTTTTTGCTCAAATTCTAGATAGGCTGCAAAGCTTCTGGAAACTTGGAAATTTGTAACCATGATAAGGAAGACGAAAAATCCGTCCAAAATGAGAAGAAAAGTCTTTATCCTCTCTACGAGTTGATTATTATAAGTAGGTCGAACTTTTTTGATCAAATACGGAGATTTCGAGTATGAAATTTTTTTAATAAATCGAAAAAAATTGAATTGTTTGAAAAAAATATTTAAGATCCACATCAGTACCTGACTAGGACAAAGCTTACAGCTAGAAGTACTTCACCGAAAAGAAAAAAAAATGAATGAATAAAAAGGGATTTGACAACTTTTTCGCCCTTTTTGAAGCTTATTTCAAGTCTGTCAACTATTCAAAATTGACTCAACGATAAAAAAAGACAGCGAGACCAGTGGAATTTGAATTGAAAAGAAAAAAATCCCAGCTCTTTTCTATATACTTTTTTTCCATAAACAAAATATATAAAGCTTTTTGGAGCGTCCTAACCCTGAGAACCGAATATAGGTTTTTTTTTATTCAGGCTCAGACCTTGGTAACGCGAATCGGACGTGTCGGGTCCTTTCTAGTGACTACTTTAGTAGCCTCAGAACTCTCAAGTGATCCCTAGAATCGCGCAGAGTCGTCCGGAGCACGTCCGTTCCGAGTTACCAATGTCCGAGGGAGATCTTAAAGTGCAATTCAGTGAAGTATCGTCATAAGTTCAACCCGGGGCTGAAAAACGTTCCCTAGGGAAAATAAAAAATCAATATCACAGATTAAAAAAATATTTGAAACCTTTTTTCAGGACCACCGAGAAAGGACGCCGGAACGGAAACCGACGAGGCGTGGGCCGAAGAAAAGGAGAAAAAGGAGGAGCTCGAAAAAGAGCTCAAAAAAAGAGGCGAAGAGTTGAGGTACGAATTTATCAGAAGCCCAAATAAGAACTGAATAAACTAGAAGATGAAACTAAGTCTTATACAGAAAAAAATAATCATTTGATTCTGAAACCGATTTTTTTGAAAGATCGAATTTCGCATAAAAAAACAAGATACTACTTTTTTTACTTTTTTTCGAAAATTCGGTTTTTTTTATTTTTATTTTTTTACTGAACCGTATCAATCAGAAGCTGTATCACCTTGGAGTAAAAATATTGTTTCGAACTGCAAGAATTTCCAAAAACGTTGAACAGAGAAAAAATTATGATAGAAAAAGTGTGATTGAAGAATTATTCGGTCGCGATTTTAAGCAAGTGTATCATCAAAGTGAGAAGAAACCAAGCTGAGAAAAATATTCACAGAAAATAAAATTGAAGTCACAAAACAGTTGAGACCTTTCAATCAATTCAATAATGTTATAGGGAGGAAAAGGAGAAGGCGACGGAGGCAAACGCCGAAAACGGCCGCCTGGCGGTCAACCTCGCCCAGACGACCCTCGAGCTGGGATGTTCCCTGGCCAGAGGTCATTTCTCTTTTTAATGAATTCATTAATAAAATCATTTGCAGAAGAAGTCCTGCGCCAGGAACTTCAACTTCTCCGCGTCAGGCTCGCCCAAGCCGAGGAGGAGAAAGGCAGGCTGGCTGCCCAACTCCAGGTTACTTGAAAACTAAAATAATCACCTGTAGAAGTTTGGCAGATCAGTTATTGCTTAAACTACATCAGATTTGACTTCAAAACATGATCGAATCCATTTGAAGCTCTTCTCTATCTCAATCAAAGCTGATGTGTTGAAATAGTCAATAGTCAAGCTCTTTATTACATTATTTAGTCCTTTCGGTAGTATGAAAAAAAAGGCCAGCGAAATTCGAACGGCGACTTTTCTGATTTTTTCATATCTCTAGGGAGCTTTTCGACGGAGAAGTTTCCGACTTTTTAAACTTTTCTTTCTAAATATTCCTACATAAAGTAGGTAGTTGGTTGATGATTAAAACACAAAGAAATATGAAAAAAATGTTAATAAATGCTTTATAAACCGAAAAATTAGAGGGAAAAAAGTCAGAAATGAATCTGGCGGAAATCTTTCTGTCGGAAATTTCATTATCGTTATGAAAAAATCGGAAAAGTTGCCGTTCAAATTTTCGCTGGTCTTCTTTTCACAGCACCCTCCTTTCAAGTCCGTCATAATTGATCTATTTCGGTTTTCCAAAAAAAAAAAACCATGACGAGAACTTTTGAAATATGAACTTCATTGGTAAAAAGGAAATATTTATTGTGTAGCCTTTTTGATTGAAGAGTTATTAGAAACCAATAAAAAAATAGATCAAATTGAATAAATTTAGGCCGCCGTCCAGGCCCTCGACATTCCCTGTCGAAGCGGAGCTGGTGAGATTTTCTTTTTTTAAATAAAAAAATTATCTAGTACTAGTGGCCATGAAATTGTGAAGGATCTATTTCAAAGTTCAGAGTTTAAATTCCAAGTTATATTCGAAATCAGACTTTTTTCATATTTTCCGTTTTACAATAAGCCTTTGAATTAAAAAAATATATACACAAACATTTTGCTAATTAAGCAACGAAGTGAATAATTTAAGGCCGCCGAGATCCAGCCGCAAGAGGACGAAGCTGAGCTTCTTCTCCGCCCTGAAGTGAGGATTTTTTTTCATGAAATTTTTATTTTCGAAGCTGTCGCGGGCACTATGGGCACTGCACTTTATGAAAAAAACGCCTTCAAGAGTCTTTTCAAAAAGTTCAAATCTCTGTCTCGACATGAAATTAGCTCTTCGATAATTCTTTTCAGAAAATTGTAAAGTTCTGTGGGAATAAAAGACAATCGAAATCTTCAAACTAGCTTTAGCTCACGAATTTCAAATAAGCTTCCATTCCAAAACCTTCAAGAAAAAGCTTACTAGGGAACTACGCGAACTCGTATTCACGGATCGAGTCCAAACTGGGGTGGTTTAAAGATCTAGGTAAAGGTACTTGAAAACAGGCGATATCATCTGCTAAACCCAATGAAATACCAAGTAAAAGCTTTTTGAAAATTATCAAATTTCGGTTTTTCTCCTTCTTTTGGCTGGAAAAAAGTATTTAGGGTTCATTATAGCCAGATCATTCAAGGCAATTGTATTGAAACATAAATGGAGATAAAAGCAGTATCCTAAGAATTTTCAGGCAATCTGCACATTTTCTACAATTTTTTTTTTCTCAACTGCGAAGACTTTTAAAGAAATGACAACAACGGAAAAAGTCGGCTTCTAGACCAAATATTATTTTGGAAAAGAGAAAATGACGTAGTTCCTTCCCGCTCGATTACAACTACGAGTGGCGACCTCTGCCAATTTAAAAAAGTTTTTAAAATCACATTTAATCCATTACGAAGCTGGTTTAGAGGGCTTCAGTCTATGTATCGAATTCCCTTTTCGGAGCCTTTTCTAATAATTTTGATTTTATTTTTTATGCCGTGTTCAATTTGATTCCGCGAAATGCAAAATACCCGTTAGAGAAAGGAAAAGATCACTAAATTTTGGAGAGTCAGAGATCATTTTGCATTTCGCGGAATCAAATTGAACACGGCGTTATACTTTCTAATGTTCTCAATATAATATCTAAGTTAGCCGAAATCTTTTCTTTAACCGAATCATAATGAAAAAGCTGTTTCTATAACATAAAAGCTTTTGACTTCAAAAAAGATGCAAATTTTTTTCAGAGTTTTTCAATATATTACTTTGAACGAATTATGTAATTTTTTTATTGTTATTGAACTGAAATAATCATAATCCTTGATAGGTTTTTATTCTTTCAAAAAAATAGGTGAAAAAAAGTTCGAAAGCTATTTAATTTTTTTAAAAGATATTTTCAAAAAAACTTTTCAAACTGATAATTTATTATGTAAAGCTTTCGCTATTCGAATCAGTGTACCTGAGAATTTTCGAGTGAAGGTAAATTGGAAGGCCTGGCGTTGTGGTTTCTGAAAATGAGATCGGAATAAAACGAATGGGAAAAATTTTCTTGAACTTCCTATTTCTTCAAATGAAATCAGGGCTACGGAAAGAGTTTGTAGATTTGAAAGAGAGAGAAAGAAAGTTTTACGGATACTTCATATTCTTCCAACTTGAAAATTAACAGAAAAACAAATTTAGATGGACCAGGCAAGTCCCAGGAAGCGGAGAAGAAGCTCTTCTTCCCACTCGGAAGGACCCTCCGACAAGAGGTCGCGAGGTGGAGAGAGTGGAGGAGAGAGCCCGGACGTTTTCCGCACGCCGGAACGTGGCGTCGAGCAAGCCAGAAATGGCCACGACGCCACTCCGGGCTACGAAGAAGGAGAAGAAGGAGGGGAGCCGGAGTTGGAAGAAGAGGACGAGGTCGTCCCGGAGAGCGACCAAGAAGAGCTCGCCGAGTCCTCTTCTTCCGGCACAACATCGCCGGCACCGTCGACCCCGCCACGAACCCCGCAGCCTCCGGCGACGCCACCAAGGACGCCGCCAGCTCAGCCAACGCGACGGGTTAGTTTTCAGCGGAAAATGGTTATCAATGCTGAAATAAGAATCTTGAACCATCCAGTCAGTGAAAATCTAGATGCAAAAATCATCCTAAACAGCTTTCCTTCTCGATTCTGAGAATCTACATAATAACGCAGTTTTTTTGGAATACAAAGTTTTTTTGAAATCACAATTATCAAAAATCAAAAACACGCGTAGCAAAAAGAATTACATTCATCGTTTTGTCATCGCGGGAAATTCTCGCGCAGGAATCTGAAATGAGAGAAAGTTGAAAAATTTCTAAATAATATACTTCAAGTTGGTAATTGGAAAAACTAGTTTTTTTCAAATTATCTTTTTGAAATCGCGATGAAAAAAACTGTAACTTATTTTAGTAATGAAGTTCTCTCCACTCGAACAAGAAAAACGCAACTACACGACTAAAAATTTTTCATGATATTTATGTATGAAACTTTTTCTTGTCACTGGATTGAAAAAGTAAAAATTCTAATCAATGCAATAGCCAACCTCTCTGAAGAGACTCATTTACGATGTCAGTTGGAAATTTGAAACCCGTGCAAAAATCCCGATCAATTGCTCCATAGGAATTCAAAAAAAGAAAACCGGAAGCTCTGATAAACTTTCTAGGAAAAAAATTCTAAAAAAACAAGCACTTCTCTGTAAAAAAATTTCCTTAATTTACCAAAGTATCTCTATTTTTTTCTTTGGATTACCTTTTTTTGAATAATTAAAAAAACGAAGAAAAAAACATCAATAATAATAAATAAATTATGATTTAATTTTTTTCAATATCAGAAAAAGTTTGAAATAAAGAAAAAAATTAAAAAAATAAACACCAACCTTTTTTTCTTCTTACAACTCCGGCTGCTTGCGTTTTCATATAATCATAGACTACAAGTTACAGCCCTATTCAATGATTTCGGAAAAGATTCGAATCTGAAAATGATTACGAAAAACGAAGCGAAATTTGGAAAAAATTATAAATTCTCATGAAGAAAAGCGATTGTTGTTCCAAATTCGAGCAAAGTACTTCAAAAAAAAGTCTCATATATAATGAAAAAAACTCACGAAATATTTTTTAAAAACTGTTACTTTGAACATTAGTTAAATGAAAAAACCTTGTGGAAAAACGAGAGTCATAGAGCAAAAAAATTCGAACGAATTGATTATTTTTTTCAATGATTTAAGAAAAAAATAACAAGAACGATAACTGCAAAAATTGGATTGGTTTCAGTAGTTTCGTTCCGTTTTTTTCTCTTCTATTGGATATATGGAAGCAAACGATATCTTTTCAGCAACGGCGCGCCCAGGCGGTCATGGGGGTTCTCAAGAGGTCGAGCAGGATCGGCAACAGGCTCCCTGGCCCCCAGCCCAAGCCGCCCGTGGACGCCCAGCCGATCGCGTTGGCTGTTCTGGCCCCGCAAACGGCCGCCGAAGTCGGCACAACGATCCTGAAGAGGCTGGCGAACTACGACAGCGGGGTTTACTTCCAAAACCTCGCTGTCACGGTCAAATTGGGACGGCTCCTCACGACAGCTCGCAGACTCTCGAGGAACCTCCCGTCATCTACCAAGGACTTACGGGACCTCGAGAGTCTGAAAGAGAGCCTTTCGCGACTGTTCTGAGGTCAGTGTCTCAAAAAATCAAAAAACAAAGCAATAAATTGAGTCATTTTGCAAATGTATGTCTGTAGTGCTCATTCAAATTCAGCCTTTTCAGTCCTTAATTACCGCGAGGAACGATAACGTATCGAAAAAATAACTTTAATCAGGAAACTTTGAGAAAATATTTGCTTTTCAATTGAAAAAAAAAACAAAATGAAAAAACATACAGCGGAGCCGTTTTTGGAGTGACAAATCGAATAAAACCAAAAAGAAAAAACTTCAAAAGGTCACGAAAAACTGACTGAAACATGTTAATATGACATTCAAAGCGAGAAAAATGAAATGCCAAAAAATTAAAAAAATGCCGGAAAATTCCCTGTTGGTTTGAGAGAACTTTAAGAGTAGTCATTGAAAGAAAACTAAAAATAACTAACCAATCCGGCACAGGGGAAAAAGCGAACTCGCTGGCGGTACATTGACGAACTCGCAAAAATCTCGCTCTGTCCCGCGCGGGCCTCGCATTTTTTTAGCCGCGACCTCGCATTACGGAAAATTCTCCAAATGCGAGAGCGCCCCAAGGAAAATGCGAAACCGCCGCATTTAAGAAGCAGCTTTGTTAACAAAACATGTTTTGAGGTGTTCAATGTACTGCAAGCAACCTCGCTATTAACAGTTATTTTTTTGTTGATAAAACACAGATAAAAGTTTTAATGTGCGTAATTGCGTCGGTGTGATTAGACCGAATACATGGCCTCAGGTTTAAATTTAACAGGAGACTTTTTTAATTAGAGACTTTTTTCAGTCAAATTAAAAGATATTGCTTTTTTTATTTCTTTTTTTCAAATAAATAACCGAATCAAATGATGTTTGATTTTTTTACACAACTCTTTCTGAGAAAGTGTAGCCTTCAATTGTTTTTCAAATTCATCTCACTAGCTGAATCAAAAATAACTTGACTTCCTTCTTAACAAACATTGTGAAAAAAATATTTATCGAATATTTACTTTTCAAAGCTTGAAGGTCTCCATTGAGATATTTTTTTCAACTGAAAGCCGCTTGTGAACCGTTGAAAAGTTTATTATTTTAAGGTCCTCCCATCCGCCAGCTCTTCGTTGTGCTCGCCTATCTCTCTCTCTCTCCACTCACATTTTTTGGTGAGTTATTTTCTTATTAAAAAGGCTTGATTCGTGGGAAATAGATATAGCTGATTCACGGCTAACTTGAGACACTAAGGGGGCGTGGCCTGTCTGCGCTCTCGACGAACCAGGCACTCTCGCGTGCATTATCATGTCAGGACCCCTTTTTCGATATCTCAAACCAGCCGTGGATTAGCTATAAAAAACAGTCTGAGAGTTTCGTAGCTTGAAATTGAAATCATTTGGCGCAGACTTGTTCTGTGCCATTTGGTTTTAGGCTGGGTTGGATATTTCTTACTTTCTGATTTTTCACATCCATCAATGAATGTAGAATGAAGACTTAATTTTTTTAAAAAGCACAAAAATGGCTTCATTTCTTTTTCAAGGGATGATTGTTGGTTCGCCATTATTTGAGCTTACTCAATATTTTTTTATTTGAAAAAAATCGAAAAAGCCTCGATAAAAGTTCTGATCATTTTAGCCAACTTTTTGTAGTAAAAAAATTAAACAGTGTATTTTTTTCTGTTCAAAAAGTCATTTTTTTGAGGTATTTGAAAGCGTAAAGACCAGTTTTCTAGAGGTGATCAGATCGAAAAAAATGGAGAGAACTTTTTATAAATAAAGTTAAAATTTTAAACTTCGTTGATGCATATTATTTCAATAGTAGCGGAAAGAAAAATGTTTCTTATAAATATATTATTTTATATTAATATCGTTAAATTATCCGGCCGAGCTTATCAGAAATTTGTACAAATTAATTAAATATTTATTTTTCTGACTTCAATTCAAATTATTATTTTCAGTTCTCCCCATCCCGAACTGGTCTTGATCTTCTCCATGCGACTTACTTTTTGGGCCGAGGAGGAGTGGAAAGCGGTCTGTCGACCGTTAGTACAACCTCCAAGGAACGAGGTAACTTTTGAATTTTTTTTGCTTCATTTTATTTCTCCCTTTCAGGAAAAATTGCTGGTTTTTTCCATCCTTGATGCTGACGATCGTCTTGTGATTTTTTTCTCCATTGACGCTTTCTCCCTTCTCCCAACCAAATTGTGTAAGTTTTGAAATACTTACTGATCTATTTCTTTTATTACCCACGACCTTTTTTGATGGTTAAAGTCGTGATTGGAATTTATCTCATAATCCAAGAACTTATTTCAGACTTCCAGTACATTGTTTCTTTCTGCGCACAGTCGCAAGGTTCCCACCGACAACAGGAGACGTCATTCTCTGAATGACGGTGACGATAATATTGAAACTGCATTGGACAAATTGAGGTAAAAAATTCGCAAAAACTTGACTTCGTTCCGGAAATCAGTCATATAGATCCCCTGAATAAATGGAAAATCAAAATCTTTCATGAATCGAAAAAGCTTCAAAAGCTGTCAATCGATTTACAGAAACTTATCAAAAGTAAAAACAAATACGCAAGTTTTCGAAGCAACGTTTCTTGGAGAAAAAAAAGAAAATAGACTTGAAATCTTAGTTTTTTTTGTTTAGATTTCAATGAGCTTGATTGAAAAGTTTGAAGTTTTTGAAAATCCAAAGCTTCTATAGCCGGGATTGGATGTCGCTCGAGAAAAAAAAAGCTTCTTGAGACATTTCTATTGAGTAAGAATTTGGAACGGCTCATTTCTCTCTGTTGGTCGTAGAAATGAAAATTTAGAGCGATAATTCATCCAAAAAAAGACATTATTCGGTTTTCAAAAATAAAAAGTGTCTCTCCTATAAGAAAGATTCTTTTTATGAAAATGCGATTCGATTTTTTATTATTTTTTCAGCTTTTTTCGAAAAAAAAACTAATAAATGATAATCTTATGAGATTTGAGTCGTTTTTCAACCTTATACTCATAGTTAGTTTTCACGAACACTCGTTTTTAATTCGCGCAATTTCATTTTTGAGAAGTTTTCTGAATTTAAGTTTCGTTGTGCAGAAGATAATTCAACCTTCAAAGCTATTTTTTGTTCAGGAAAAGCAGAAGAAATATCTTGAAGGCCTTGCCCTGTTATTTCTGGCACTTTTTCCTGAAGAGACTCTTTGTCTGAAGATGGACGATGAAACTGAATGGATTTCTTTAAGTTTTTTTCGCCGAGTCGACAAGTCATTTTAATCGCAGGTAAAGGGAATTTCATGATTATGTGGGTCAAGAATAAGTTTAGAATTACGTCAGTCCTTTTCTGCTGAACGATTCGCGAAGGAGCTTCTTGAGGACGCTGAAATAGTTCTTTCATGAACTTTTCGCCGCCGCTCCCATGACTTGTGAGTGATTGGATGGTTTTCGGAAATTTGAAAATGTTTTCATACAGCAAAAATGAAAACAGTTTTATTGAAACACAAAAAAACTTGTCTCTCCGTTCAATTTTTATGTGACCGAAAAACTATCATAGCTCAAAAGGGGCTTTTGAGGAAAATTTCAGTTTAATGGATGAACCTTTTTGAAGTTTTTCACCTGCTTGAAGCCTTCCAAACAGCAAGCCTTTATGGTTTTGCTGACTTTTCTTGTGATTTTGAGCGGTTTCCTATTTTCCCAAGCTTCGAAGCTAGTTTTTGAGTACTTTTTCGGAATGAGCTCAAGAAACTGCTATTGTGAACCTTACTAAATTTGGAAAAAAACTCAAAGCTAAAAGTTCTCGTCGCGTCCTTTTTTTCAAACAGAAAAGCAACTTGTTTGAACTTCGCTTTTTAAAAAAATAATTGACTTGTTTGGTTGAAGAGCCGAATTTGCAATGAGAAACTATCTCTCTTTATTTCCAACTCAAAAAAATTATCGTTCATTTTTTTATTTTGAATTCTAATCGCTCATCAAAAAAACTACGCGCTGAGAAAAAAATAAACAGGAATAATTTATTTAATATTTCTTTCAGCGATAGAAAACCTGAAATTCTCAATTAATTTGCTTTCATGATTTCTTTCTAATCTTTGGGGGCTCGTTGGGAAGAGACAAGGGAGGTCATTTTAGTGTAAAATTTCGCATTTTTTGATGAAAATCAGTTCAAACGTTCTCTGAAGTGTTTAGATGAATTCCCCGCAGATTTCTAGTGTGAAAGAAGTTAATTTCGGAAGTTTTTTAACCTTGGCTTCTTGGATTAGAATTATTTAGAGAATAAACTGGAGAAATTCCGAGCAAAGATTCAGAAAAAGCCAAAATTGACACAAAAATGGCCTCCCTTCTTGGAAAAATTTCTCAATCCCACATACGCCTTTAGGCGAATTCATCGCGGAAAATCGTACGCGATTGCCACTTGCCGGTTCATTCCCGTTCCTCTCTCCACGACAGCTTCAAACGAAATTCTCCTAAGTAGTTTCATTGTCTAGGAGTTTGGATCAAGGAGAAATGTACGCGATTTCCATTCGCGTCGTTATCATGTCGACAGCCGACTGACAACTAAATTCATCCAAATAGTTCACATGTTTCAGCTCCCTCCCTCGTTGCCTTCCAGTTTTCATTGTCCCCATTCTCCTGTTTCCTTCCCCGCTACCTACTTATTTTTAAAGTTATCCTCTTTTGATCTGTGCCATAGTTTTCATTATCTTTGAATTTTTTTCCCTTTTTTTTCCCTTTTTTCCCCTAGAATTTTGTTTTACTCATCTGTTTTTTTTGTTTTACTTATCATTCTTCTTATTTTACTCAGCAGTTCGTTCTGCCTGATTTCATCTGTACCATGGTTATACTTCTTGATTCTTTTTCCACTTAGTTTTCCATCCTACTTCTCTTGGCTCATTCTCCATCTCTTTTTTTCCCTATCTTTTTTTCATTAATTCAATTGTTTTACGTAACATGAAAAAGAGCCTTAAGAAAATTAAAAACTGATTAAAAAATAAAAAAACATAAAAAAATCAAAAAAATAGTAAAAAAAGGCCAACTCAATTGTTTTTATTTTTTTCCTTTGTACTCTCGCACTTTTTTTGTCCATCTGGGCAAACCCTCAAATCTCTCACATCAAGCCGAATTCCACAGAAAATCTTGAGAATCCGTCCATGTGAATGAATGGTTAGCTTTTTAATTTGAGAATAACATTGACGAAAAGTTTTAGGAAACTCTGCTTTTATGAGGAAATAAGTCGACAATACTTCGAACTTGAAGGAAGAATGAAGCCGGCAATACTTCATACTTCGCTCAACTCCGGTTTTTGGTTAGTTTTCTGCTTTTTCTACATGATAAAATGAGATAATCTTCAGAAAAACCGAAAATTTGAAATCAATGAGCAAGCTCCTCGCACAAGGATGGGACTTTTCCCATCCGGCAAAATCTCGCGAATTCTGCGGTTCCAGCTTAACATCAATCATCAATATCAATATCAAGTGGTCAGAGTCCTTCTCGGTTAGTTTTCTCATCTACTTGAAAATCATGCGGGGAAAATTCAGGAAAAAGCTGCAAAGACGTCTTTCAGCAGCAGATATGGGCTGGACCAAAAGAGAATGTTCGGCTTAAGAAAATCCAGCTCTGCCCTCTACGACATAATGTTTTTAATTTCTCGGATAGCGGCGATCCTCGAAAGAATAAACAAAAGGTAATTATCAAAAAGTAGAGACTCTATTGATAAAAGGAAAATTTCAGTTTGAAGCGGACAAAGTCGGAAACTAACCACCGCATTTTCAAAAGTTTCGGAACATTTATCGTCGAAAAAAAGAATTTTTCTCTGAAATTACGCTCCAGGTGTGTAACCTCATCTTATTTACAGAAAAAAACATTTTTATTCAGATTTCAATAATTTCAAACTATGATATTATGTGAAATTCGACTCATATAATTCTATTTTCTACATTTACCGGTCCCAACTCTCATTCGGTCTTTGAATAGTCACGCTTCAGGTGGGTAACCTTATCTTATCAACAGGAAAAATGATTTTTTCCAGATTTAAATAACAGCGAACACTAAAATATTATCAGAAAGCCGATCAGTTCTACTCATATCATCATTTTTCTGTATTCACCCGTCCCAATTGGAATTTTGTCTTGAAAAAGTCTCCCCAAGGTTGGTTAATTTTCGAAATTCGAAAAATATTCTCATTTTTCAGATTGAAAACGACAAAGGCAAAAAATTCGCCATTAAGCCATAATTTCGGCATGGAAGTCAGCCCTGAAAACCTGATTTTTTGAAAATTGTCTTGGTTAGTTTCCTATTAAGTTTTAAAATCATAATAAACATTTTTCAGATAACTGACAGTTGAAAGCTCAATTATCAAAGAAAAAAATTGAATGATATCAAAAAAATAGAAGCGGGACTTTGAAAAAAAAAACGAAAACCGTTTTTTCCTGTTTTTGAAAAACAGGGCTTCTAAATGGTGAGTTATTTCGCAAAAAAATTCATAATTTTGTGAAATATTCAGGCCAAAAAGAGTATCGCTCGGAATCGTATCAATTTCCAGCCATTCGGACAATTTTCTTGCATTTTTCGTTCGAATTTTCGCAGTCGCAAGATTTCGAAGCAGCTTCTGATCTACTAAACGTTATCAATGGTAAAATTTTCGATTGGTCCAACTTTCATAACGGAAGAATTTTAGAAAACGTTATAAATCGAAGATCTCCGTACGAATTCATGAAAGGAAGTCAAATCAAGAAGAAAAATCAAATTCTTCTGGAGCGTTATCCTTCTCGCAGATCTTCCTCCCTTTAGTAAAATGAGAAAAAGAAAATGGAGTATACAAAAATAAAGAAAAATAAAAAAACGAAAACAAAAAAACTCCTTCCCCCTTTTCAGTTGTTCCCCTTAGGTAATCAATCACATTTCATTGTTCTCGATAGTTATTTTACTTTGTATGTCAAAATCGTGGAGAGTCTGAAAAACTCTTCAAGACGATTTCAATAATGAAGAACATGTATTGAAATCAATTCTCAACCATTTCTTTTCACCATTTTCGAATCAAATTTTCCCATTCAAGCTCTTCCAAAAATTCATTTTCACTGTTTCGGAGCATTTTTTGAAGTCAAAAAACCTTTTTTTTTCTTTTTCCCTGAACACGCCATTCCATTGATTTCTGAGTCAACTTTCAAACATTTTGGCTCAAGAAATTCATATTTCATAAGTGTCCAAGGAAAAATTCATTTTTAATCAACTTCTTTCCATCCAGTCTTTCAGAACTGTACGAATCGTCAGTTTCTGAGAATTTTTTTTGCGTTTTTCAGCCTTTCGAGACATTTTCTTTTTGCTTTTTCCCTGGACACGCCATTCCATTATTTTCGGAGTCAAAATTCAAACATTTTGGCTCGGAAAAGTTTCATTTCAACAGTGTCCACGGAAAAAAAGACATTTTTTTTTCATCCATTTCGAATCTCTACGAATTTTTGAATTCAAAACAATTTTATTTTCATTTTCCAATCATTTCCGTTTTTTACAATGAACACGCAAAAGGTTTTACATTTAGATTCAAGTCGTGATCATCGTAAAACTAAAAACTCATCAAAAAATAATTATTATATTTAGTCGTTGCGGAAAATTTCATTTTCACTGTTTCGGAGCATGGTTTTAGGCTTTTTCAAGACATTTTCTCACTTTTTATCTTTTGGACACGCCTTTTTCACTGTCTTCTAGGCGAATTTGCAACAATTTTGGCTGAAAAGAATTGGTATTTCAATAGTGTCCAACGAAAAATGTTGTAAAAGAAAGAATTTTTCGGTCGTTCGAAGTTGTACGAGTTCTCAGTTTTAGGGCATCTTTTTCATTTTTTTCAAACAGTTTTTCACTAGCAACACGCAAAAACATTTTCGCATTTCCAGTAGCGTTGTGGGAACCGAAAAAAACTCTAAAAAATTTTTGTTCATTTTTTTCCTTCCTTTATTTTTTTCAGAAGCATTATAGCTTTTAACTTTTAAGAAAAGAAAATTATTTTAAATTTGCCAGTGAATAGTTTATTACAAAACTTTTTGAATAATTTTCGAGATAGTTTGGTTCAAAAAAGCTTTTTTTCAGCTTTCAAAAGGGAAAAAATGTCTTAGTTGCTCAAAAATAGTACATTTTCATTCTTTTTAAACATTTATCTTACGTTTCGAAATGTTCAGCTTTAGTCGGTCAGCTGAAATTCCTGATGAAAAATTCCAAAAATTTAGTGACTAGAATAAATAAGACTTTTCTTCGTCTTTTTATATAGTTTTATTCAAATTTAAGTTTTTTTGCTGGGAATCATAAAAATTTTCAGTGTGTTTGGGCCTTCAAAATGTTTTTGCGAATAATGAAACGTTTTTAACCTCTTTTTTCATGCTCGTAACGACCTAAATTACCTTGCGCGAATTTTTTTATCTAAACCTTAAAAGTACAAAAATAAATTGGAGGAGGATGGACATTTTTGAACGTTAAAAATCGGAAGAGGAGGATTAAAAAATATCAGAATTTTTCTTTCAGTCTCTAAGGCGACTTTTTGAATATTTATGGAGGAGGATGGAATTTTGTGAATTTTAAAAAAATCGGAGGAAGAGGAACTTTTCGATATCAAGTTTTTTCTTTCAGTGAATATTTTTGAGTAGAACTCGAAAAATGGAACAAGGATTTTTCTCATTTTTCCTAACTTTTCAATCCACAGGTACTTATTTCCAATAGCTCATGTAACTTGACGAGATTTTTTTCTTTTTAGTAAACTACGGATTTCGCATCGAAAGTTACCGTTTTTCAAATAAAAACTGTAAAATTTTTGAGCGAATGCTGATTATTTTCGGAGAAAAATGAATATCACAAAAGTATTTTGCCAAAAGACATTTCATTCTCATAGTTACTGCTTTTTGGAGGAAATTTGATAGAAGAAAAACTAGCTCTCTCCAAAAACACCATTTCAAAAGTCTTTTGTTTTTCAAAAATTGTAAGGGGTTAGATAATGGGGTGGGATCAAGTAAGTTTGATACAGTTTCTGTACCGAGTTAGTTGACTTTTTCAGACCGGTTACGGTAGAAGAGATCCGGAAGGCGGAGGCAAGCCGGGAAGAGTTCCAGTGGCGCAGTCCGAGTGCGTCTCGATGCCGATCGTGCGTGGCTAGTTCAAACCTTTTTCTTTGCGAAAATTCTTTTTAAATTTGAAAAAAATTATAAGAATGTTTTTGAAAGTCAGAAACCGGTAAATTTAGAATTTGGCGATAGCCAACACTTTTTGATGGCCGAGAATTTTTAGCGTCTCATAGCTTTTTATTTAGTCCTATCAAAATATGAAAGTTCGAAAAAAATGTTCCATTTTGGATTGAAAATTTTATATATAACTGAAATTGTGAAGCTCAGTAGGCATGAAACGTATGAGCCATTAATTTACGTGTTCTTTGGCAACTAGGTCAAGTACGTGGCGATAACGCCCTGAACTAATCATTATCAATTTTGTAAATTTTGAATTGTTTTTTTTTTCGCAACTTTGTGTTAACGTTTTTAATCTACTGTAACAGTTATTTCAGCAGGGAATTGTCACTGAAACGGGTCAAAAGACTACCTTTTCAATCTCACTAGAGAACTATTTCGACAAAAAAATTTTGAGATGCTATGAAATTGATGCATTCATTTGGTTTCCAAAAAGTCAAATGACTGAAAAAAATCCTATTACGCCAGGCCACCTCGTTAAGAGTGGAAGGCTTACAGTTCTCTGGATTTTTCCGGTGGTATGAAAAAAAAAACCAGCGAATTTTCGAAATGCGACTTTTTCCGATTTGTTCAAATCGCTAAGGAACTTTCCGACGGCCACCTTTCCGACGGACCACTTCCCGACTTTTTTCCCTTTTATTTTTCGGTTCCTAAAACATTCTTTGTCTACTTTTTTGTGTTTTAATCATGAATCAACTACCTACTTTATATGGGAGGATTCAAAACGAAGAGTTTATTTAGCAAAAAAGTTGAAAAGGATTAGTCGGAAAGTTCTCCGTCGGAAAGCTCTCTAGCTATTTGAAAAAATCAGAAAAATCGCCGTTCGAGTTTTCGCTGATCTTTTTTTCATACCACCATTTTTTCGTGTTTTTGTGTTTTAATAAAAAAGTTTCATACATTGCTCAAAACAAGCGCTTCTAGATGCTAGGGCGATATCGCCATACAAATGACCGTTGCGCCACGCTGACTTTTGAAAAAGTCATTTCTGCCTTTTGGGCGTTTATGACTTGGCAGGCAGGGCGGCCAGAGGGCAGCCATCCTCCACCTCTGGTATGGATATTCTCATTTTATCTAAAAAGTTGAATCTCACAGAATGACGGAAAAGAGAGAGAAAGCAAAAATTTTTCACAAAAGCCTATAAACTTGCCCAGAAAAGTCGCAACGAAGAAACCTTGAATATCCTGAATGGGCAACTCCTAAGAAACCTTCCAGTTGCTTTTTTGAATGACGGAAGCATCTGCGGGTGCTTACTGGCCAATATGAGCGAACCTTTATTTTTAGAAAACGATTTTTCAGATTTCGAATTTCCATAGCTGCTTCAGTTTCATTCTCAAAACGGTTGACCTGCACAAAAAAAAGAATGATAAAAATTATAGCCAAAAAGTAGTTTGAAAATTCCCTAGATCTTTCTATCAAATTCAGTTTTAAATTTTAATCATTTGAAATCCATGTCAGTCGCCTTGAGCACGCTTGTGCGTCAGTCTTGTTGTTTTTCAAAAAAACCCTTCAGACTCGAATATATTTTTCTTTTTACACAAAACTCGTTCTGGATACAATCTTTAATAGATATTGAAACAAATCCATAAAAATTTTTAGTCTCTGTCCTCTTTTTTTTTTCAAATTTCTATACTTTTTCAAACCAAAAAAACCGAATTCAAAAATAAATCAAATTTTTCATCCGGAATTCACTGAATAAATCTTTTTCACTTATTATATCATAGTTTCTGTTAATATTTGATTGAATTTTAATAAAAATCTGAGGCCGGTCCAGGTCGCGTTAAAAATGGCCCGAGGGACCAATGCGCGGACGACGGCTCTCGCACAAAAATCGGTCTTATGCAAATTCAAAAGCTTCAGAAAAAGTATTGCGCTGAAAATAGACGAAATGCGAAACAACTTTCGAGTAAATTTGAAATAAATAGTATCGAAGTTCGTTCAAAAGAGCTCACAGATAAAATACGGTTCCACGAAAAAAATTCTGAGGAGATTTGAAAAAGAATTACAAAAAGCAAGACAAACGTTTTTTTAAGTCTTTATTTTGTTTAAAAAAATATGGGGGCACAAAAATTGGGGTGGGATCAGGTAAGTTCAACATATTCCTATTTCGGAGTTTATTGATTTTTCAGGACGACCACGAGAGACTGGAGCGCTTCACACAGCGAATTATGGGTTAGTACAGAAATTTAAAAAAATTGAGTATTTTGCTAGTTTATAGAAGACTCAAGGAAGAATTTTATCAGAAAAATTTCCTAATTCAAAAAAACAGCTTTTTGCATGTAGTGATCTTTTTCTAGAAAAAAATTGAAGATCAAGATAGAGACCGCAAACTTTTTTTCGGATTTGTACATTTCTATTTCTCGCGCGTATTCGCTTTAATCGGCAAAAAAAAGTGCGATATGACATAATTCATGACGTAAATTCCAATTTCGATTCAAAACGGAACAAAAAAGCTCTGACACGAAACTTTTTTCGAAATTTTAGATTTATCAGTGATTTGTAGAAAAAGTTAAATTTAAACACTGTGTGTATCACAACTATACATCATTATTATGAAATGCTTCTTTTCATAAATTATTTGAGGTCGTTATCGAAAAGATTGAAAAAGAAAATCGAAGTATATCGCGCATTTGTCCGTTTATGCCGTGTTCAATGATTCCGCGAAACGCAAAATACCCGAAAAACTTGATTGAAAACAATCAAGCAACGAAAAAAATGTTGCGAGGACACTTTCCCTCTTCTTAAACCCGGAAAGTGAAAAGTAAAGCTCGGCGAAAATTCGAATAAATTCAAAAACTAGCAATTTTTTTATCAAAAAATTTTTGTGCAGGCACCTTTGCGCGCGGGTGCATGCACACAATGCGCCGTCGGTATTTACGAACTCATTTTTAAATACATTTTTTTTTATTAAAGCGAATATCTAACACATTTTCTTCTCAATTCAACCTAAATTTAATCTAAGACATATTTCGATTCATAATCACAAAGTTTTTAGCTTACCGTAGTTTTATTATCGCTAAAATATTCAATTTTTGATGCTGAATTATGAATTATGAACCATAGTTTGAGTTATTTCAGTCTGTTGGCCATCATTTGCATTGGAATGAAAAATTCGAAAAAAATTCATAGTCTCCTTTTTAGCTTTTATTTGTTCATTGGTTATACAGTATTTTAATTTCAGAGGGGATGGCAACAACGGGAACTCCATCGACGGGAACATGAAATGAAGATCCATTGGTTTAGTAATAATTTTTATTTCCAATGTACAAGCTTGTCCATTTTCAGCTCTTTTCGCATTTTTGGAGAAGTTCGACGAGCTGACCTTTCGATTCGCGTCCAGAAGCTGTCAGAATAACTTAACGGCTTTCTGTTTTTCCTCTGATTTCGGTCACCTCGATTTTTTTTCAACTCTCTCTCGCTCATATAACGATCGCAATAACTCAAAAAAAGCGATCATATTTATTATTTGTCGAAATTTTTGTTTTTATTGTTGGACCTGTTTTTCAAATTTTCTCGACCTTCCATGCGATCAGGCTTCGGTCCGTTTTTAAGATCGGCCCAAAAAGCTCAAATTTTCTTTATTTCGAATATCAAGGTTTTTTTTACGAAAAAAATTATGTTTTTGGTTTTTTTTTTGCTTAGAGTTTAACGGTAACTATGATTAAACAAGTCGAAACATGTTTTCGTTGAAAATATTTTCAATCAAACTCAAAATTCGAGCAGAATTTTTCTCAGTAGTGAGACATAAGGCCCAGGCCTGGCCGGTCTGACGCCCAAGCCTGGATTCAAGTAAAAGTTTGAAGTAAAAGCCATTTTGCCGATTGCCTGGGTTTTTGACTGGCAAACCAACGGTGCTGACAAAAGCGAGTTTTCCGTTTGCGGGGAGTACTGTATGCGGATATACGCATTGAGTGCATACACTTTGCGTGTTTACACTTACGTTGCGTGATGTCATCGGGTCGGACATCTGCGGGTTTTTTGTTTGCGAGTTTTCTTTTTCCGAATACTTTTTTAGTTTTTCTTGATACTGTTTTTATCGTGAAAAATATTATCGAGAAAAATGCAAATCTTGAAAAAAAGCAAAAATTGAAGAATATTCGACAAAAAAATACTGGAAACAAAAACGCGGAGATCTCCTACGCGGTGACGTCCCGCAACGAAAGTGTATGCACGCAATGCGCATATCCGCATACAGTACTCGCAAATGGAAAAACTCTGTTCTTGTCGTAGCACCAAACCAACAGCTCTTTCCGATTCCACGCAGCCTGTCACACTGTTTTCGATGATCGTCGCAGTATTTTTCTCAGTCATTGTTTTGAGCAGAGATGACGAGCATAATTTACTCACGAAAATGAAATAAAACTTGAAAAGCGAAGTAGAGCATGAATGAGGAACAGCTTGGCTATAACGTTCAAAAGAAATCAACCCTTAGTCTTTCCTTTATAGTCTGAAGGGAAGCGGCATAGCCAGCTGGCAATAACTCATTTCACAGTTAATTCAGTCCGCAAACGTAGGTTCGAGTCGAGGTCGACTTCGTTCTTCATCTCCGTAGAGAATATGTGAAGCTGGCCCAGCGAAAAGGCTCAATCTCGCCATCGGCCTTTGCAGCCGGCACCGTGCTGCTGCCTACGAAACCTCTCGCTTGTACCTGATGTTCTACAGAGCGAAATTCACAACTTCTCTGCCTAAAGCCACAGCTCACTGCCGCCGTTTCAGCAGTTGAAATCAATGAAAGTCGATTGCACGTATTCTTACAGTGAAGAT